GGTACAGCCTATCACCGGGGGTAACTTGGTCCTGGCACAGGTGTCTGCGGCCTGCGCCAGGCGGATGCAGTCTGCGTGGGATGGGATGCAGTCCTGTCATGGAGGGACACAGCCTGTAACAGCTGCACACGGCCCGCCCGGTAGCTTGGCCCTGTCACCGGTCACTTCAGAGGGGCCACCTAGTGAGGACCTGGGACGGCCAAGGGTGCCGGGGGTTAGATGAGGTGTGCTGGCTGTCCCCAAGGGTCCCTAGCTGCCTGTCGCCTTGCCATAGGCCTGCCTCGCTGCAGGGGGGGCTCCAGCACTGCTCCCAGACCCCATGCAGCCCCTGAGCGTTTGGGGTAGGGGCCACATATTCCTCCTGCACTGCCTGCTCTGAACTCGCAGCTTGGGCAGTGCAGCCCCATTGTGGGCTGCGGTACTGAGCGCTGCCTATGGGCCATACAAAACTCATACAGAAGTGAGACAGCAGCATGTGATTATGGCCATCTATGTTTTTCTCCAGCCATGTTGTCCTCTGTTGGGATCGACAAATCAGTAATGCCGATTTGGAGACTGGGAGCTTTGGCACTTGGCTTTAGGCAGCCTGAGCTGTTCTGAAATCACCCAGAGCCCTGCAAAACCCACACAGATTGGCAAGGGGGCTTTTCCCACCCTAACCCAAACATACAGGACTATAAATACAGGGAGGGACTATGGGATGGCGGTGGTCTTTGTCCATCTCATCAAAATGTCTCTGCAGTGCACTTTGTGTCATCCTTTCCCTCCAGCATGTAGTTCAAGGGTATTGAACAGGAAGGATTCAGAAATGAGATGAGGCATCAGAGTGATGAGAAAACTGGAGAAGAGAGCAGAGGTGAGAGGCTGCTGGAGGTTAATGTAGTGGTTTATCACCAGGGCTGAAAGCCCTTCGGAGAGCTATTCAGTCTGTCAGGCCAAGATAAACAAATCCAAAGGTTGAAATTCAATGGGAGAGGTGCAGCGGGAGGGAGGAGGGGACCGGCACAGCGGTCCTCAGTGTGGGTCTGAGTGATGCATGTGGGGAGACGTGCTTCCAGGTCGAGCTCCCCTGCCAGCAGCTCCACAGTGCCGCAGCCTTTCAAAGTTTCCCCCAGCTTCCATCTTTCTGGAGTGCTGGGGGGGACAGGAGATGGGTGAGACAATGGAGAAAATGCAAAGCTTTGCTGAACCATGAAAGATATGCTCATGTCTTTGGGGCAGAGCATCACCTTGGAACCCCAGCCACTGCCAAACCACCAGACGTTCAGAGGGAAAAAAAGGCCCTCGCCTTTGTGTGTGGAAATGGTTAAGTTAAATGGAAGGGTCCAAACCAGGAGGCAGCAGCAGCTACTGGGGAAAAACACTCAGTGTGAAAGGGCTCTTTGTCCCAGCAGGAAGGCGAAGGCTGCCCAGAGGCTGGGCACTGCAGACGCACCCTGATAGGAGCACTGGGCAGGCTTGTTTGCAGTGCGGGTGCAGGCTCCTGGAGAAGAGATGGTTTTACAGTCTTGTTCCTTTTACAGCCACACAAGCCTCTGCCTGGAAGGTGCTTTGACCAAACAATGGAATGGCTCAGCTGATGTGCTGCAGAAAAGCCAGATGGACCCAAGGAGGAGCTCCAGCCCTCGTGCAAGGGCAGCTCCTCAGGGCAGCTGTGCACTGTCCTTCCCTCCAGCACATCCAGGGTATCCAGGTCAGGAGGCTGTGGTTCAAGGCAGGTCTCCCACCCTGGGAGGACAAGCAGAAAATGAGCACGCCGTGCAAGGGGAGCCGTTTTCGCTGTAGGAGGTGGTCTCAGAGCCACAAACCAGAGGTGCTGGGCCATTGGGAGGGCAGGAGGCCGGCAGCACCTGGGCAGGAAAGAGATGCAATCTCACCACCCTCCTTTCCTGAGCTGAGAGGCAGGACAAATAAATTAAAGCAGATAATGAAAGCTATCCCTGCTGGCTGCTCACTGGGGCAATGGCCTGGCTCAGCAAGGGGTCAGTATGAATTATGTTTCCTGGCAGCGTGAGACCGTGCTTTTAGAGCTATGTCCGCCGGTAGCATGGGACAACAGGGCTCAACACACATCATGGAGGGCCCTGAAGCAGAGGGCAGGACTAGATCATGACTTTGGGAAAATCCAGGAAATCCAGCCCATTTTGGTGACAGCAATGAGACATATCCTGCTGCTTTTCGATTTGTGTTGGAGAAAATACAGCAAGCCAGGAGCAGACTTCCTAAATGCTTCGGGAAGTGGTTGCCTACTGCATTAGTACTTGCTAGTTTATACAGCTGTCCCTCAGGCAGGCAGGCAGCGACTGGTAATAGAAAATGCAAGTAGTACACAGGGTAAGCAGCTAACCCCAGACCCGGAGAAGACCCTGATAACTAATAATGTGAGCATGCGTGGTCACACGCTTGTATGTGTCCTCAGATGGTGGTATGAACATGAAGCAGACCCCATGGGGAGGTCAAAGACCTTGTGGCTTCCCCAGGTGCCAGGCAGGTAACATGCTGGCTGTAAAAGGGGACACATCAGTGACATGTCTATCACCGTGCACTTGAAGAGGATGGTCAGTTTGGACTGAGTTTGAGAAATGGAGGCTTCCTGTGCATTCCAAGGAAGCGATGGAGACAAGGAAATGCAGCCCAGACCATGTGTATTGTCATTCCCAGCTCCCTGTGGCCACAGAGGACATCCTTAGGCCAGCCCTACCCACCATGGACCCAAGCCCCTGTGGAGCCT